TTTAATAACAATTTGGCAAGATACTAAAGATGTAAGGTAGATCTGATTTCTGCTCTTCTGTTAGAGAATACTGGCTCAGTGTTATCTGGGATGAGGATTTATTCTTTTTTAGCAAATAAGTTTACACTTTTATGAGTAGTTCTTATATATGTTTGGCTTTTCCAATCTGTTTAGAAGATTTTTTAGTTTCAAGATTTTTCAGTTAAAATTTTTCTTTTAGAATCCATATCTTGAAACATATACATGTTTTATTAAAGCCATTTAAAGATGTAAATTTTTCTGGTAATTGTGCCTCTGTTCTTTTGTTCCTCTAGTTCCAGTGCACTTTTCCAACACATCACTGCGTTATTTGAATGCAGTATGGCAGCTATTATCACCTTACTTGTGAGTGATCCAGTTGGAGTTCTTTACATCCGTTCCTGTCGAGTATTGATGCTTTCTGATTGGTACACGATGCTTTACAACCCAAGTCCAGATTATGTAACCACAGTGCACTGTACTCATGAAGCTGTCTATCCACTGTAAGTATTTATTTAGACTTAAGATCATTTTTTAAAAACTCTTAAGAATATTATAGATTTCATGGACTTTGGAGACAAAAACAGGCTTGGGTTTGAATCCCAGATCTGCCAGCTGCTGTTATCTTGAGCATGTTAACAGCCTCTTATAACCTCAGTTTTCCTGTTGGTAAAATGGGTATAATGATACCTTATAAGATGTCGTGAGGATTAAATGAATCCATACATCATCAGATACCATGTGTAGTGCCTTACATATAGGAGATACTTTGTAGTAGCTGGCATTATTAGAGTGCTTGGGTTAGTGTTCTTTCTGTTTTTTTTTCCCCCAACTAAGTGTAATTTCTATCAGAATATTTTGTTGTTAAAAATATCAAATGCATAAGATTCTGCATATTATTATCCCAGACTATTCCATTTTTAGAAATTCTGTAAATTGTTGGTATTTATTTTGATATGTTTTTCTTGTTAAAGGTATAATAGAAAAGTCTGGTATTTATGTTCTCATAGTTGTAGCCAGTTTCTGTTACATAATGTGCTCAGTGAAATTAGTCCTTTTTGAGCAAGGTCATCATAGTAAAGCATCAAAAACATGCATGTATGTAAAAATGTAATTTTCGAAAAACAAGGTCTAGATATAAAGATATGAAAAATCTTTTTTTCTGCCTGCCAGCCATTAAGTCCTGCATT